TCCCCACTGCCCTCCCCAACCCCAGCCAGCACCTTCCCTTCCACTTGAGATAAGGCCTCCTGGTTCCCTTGGGGAGTAACTCTAAGTCAAAGGGAGGAACACTTCTTTCCCAGGGTAGATATTACTGGGGTCCACTTCCTATCCTGATTCTACCCCATTCCCTCCTTTTAGGTCCACCCCACCCCCATCCCCATCCTTCCATCCACTGCTAGGAAATCACCCTCCTGCTTCACTCAGGAGTCCAGCTCCTCCAGAAAACCTTCTAAACTCACCCTCTTGATGGCTGATTGCAGGAAGCCAGCTGCCCCTTTCCCCCACCCCCCACCCCTCAACCCCCAGCTCTCCTGTCTGCAGGAAGTCCTCCAACCTAGAAGTTCTAAGGAGGAAGCAAGAGGGACCCAGAGCAGAAAGTAGCAGCTGGAGAGCCCCTCAGGGATCTCCAATCCTCCCTGGCCTCACGGCCATCCACCACCCCCAGGGAAAATCCCTCAGGCACCTGAGGGGGAAGGTGGAGAATTGGAGCTGGAGCCAAGAGGAATCCTGCCTGCCCTGGAGAGGGCTCGGGGATTGGGCCTGGGCTAGCCCCTGGCTATAGCCTATAAGAAGGCTGGTGTCCAGCAAAGAGCAAGCACCTTAATGTACAGGGGCTCCCCTGTATTGGCCCTTATCTGTGGGCAGCTGCTGCATGCAAACCCCTCTGCCTAGTTGGGGGAACGTGCAGCCATGCTACCACTGGGTTCCAGCCAGAGTCAGGTATCCATGTCTTTTGCCTTCTCCCAAGCATGTTGACTACAGATAAGGGGCTTTGTAAGAGGGGGCTGCTGGAGGCAGGGGGAGGGCACTGTGGTGAGCTGTGCCCTGTGGGCCCCCAGGGAGAAGGGAAGCAGAGCAGAGCCCTTATGGTCAGCAACCTGGCAGGTCACCTGTCACCACAGGAAGGAGCAGGTGGCAGGGGAGGAGCCTGCAGGGTGGCTGTCACGTAACCAGGCTCAGCTCTTTGGACCCATGCTCTGATCACTGCTCATCTGGGCTGGGGTGACCCTAGCTTTGCAGGAGGCGAGAATGCACCATTGCAGGGCAGGGCCTTCTTGATAGACCCAACCTGGCTCGCTTTCAGCTTCTGAGAGCTGGAAAGTGTCTGGCCCCGCATACCTGCTCCCAGGCACCCAGGGTCTGTCTGCCCACACCCCCGCTGGCTGTTCTCGGTGAGCAGTGTCCCACCACTACAGAGCCAGCTCTCCCAGAGGCCCTCTCAGGTCTCCCCGCAACATGTTGGACCCCACGTGTGGTGGGGGGGAGGGGGTGCCGTCAGCTCTCTTGCTCTGCTGGGTCACCTGTCCTTGTACCCTCCCTCTTAGCAGCCTCTGGCTCTGCTTGGCTGGTGCTGGCCAAGCCGGTTTATTCCAGAGAGCGGGCTGTTTAGAATTTGAGAATTTAAGATTTCATCAGGCCAGGGAAAGTGCCCTTGGACAAGGAGAGAGGGGGGAAGGGGAAGGACAAACTCCTTTTGGTTTGGAGCCACTTGGGGGTCCTCTGCCCCAGACATCTTGAATTTGGCCCACCTCTGCAGGGCAGGCTCTGTAGCCGCTCTGGGGGACAACCTCTCTGAAGCCGACCGGGGAGCAGGGTGGACATAGACCCGACGGCTTGCCCTCCCGGAACTGTTCAGACGCAGGCGTGTGCCTTCACCCAAGCCCACCCTTGCATGTGCCCACCCTTGCTGACCCCATGAGCACACCCACATACTCACCTCACCCAACGGGCAAAAGCACGCACCACACTTGTCCCACTCTGACCATATGTGTGCAGGCAACACACTCACACCTGAGACCCCCTGGTTGTACACGGCCCCAGGACACACACGCCACCGGCCCCTTGACATATGCAATGTCCCTCATTGCCCGCCTTGGGAAGGCAGACTATTGCTACCCCTCGCCCCCAAAACCCTTTATCACAATTCCCTCAAGCTGAGTGTTCTGGTACAGACCCGAAAATGCCCCAGACACCCACACACTGACAGAGAATCACGAACACATGCCCACCTTCAAGGGGGAGCTGGGGGCTCTTCTGGACTTGGGGCCTTGGCACAGGGTCTGGGTGACCACTAGAAGGTGTCTGTAGCTACTGCAGTGCCCCCTCCTCTGGGGTTCCCGTGGCCGGGGATCCCCCACCCTTAGGTGCAGAGGAGGGTCCTCGTTTGGGCAGCCCACTACACCACTCCTTCAGACCTAGACCCCCAGGCTTCCCCAGGTCTTGGGTCCTCCTCTTTCCCAGAGGTCACGAAGCAGGACTGGGGGCCTCCCTGGTAGTGCAGCGGCTAAAGACAGCACTATAAAGCGATCAGCAGCCATTGTGGTGTAAGTTGGATCCCTGGCCAGGGAGCTGACCCACATGGCATGGCAGACCTCTCCTGTCCCCCCACTGCTCCCCTCAGCAGTGTGTTTCTGTATACCTGCTTGCTCCCCGCTCTGTCTCTGCTGAGTCCTCTCACCACCACCATCCCACCCCCACTCTCCCCATTCCCTCCCCCACCCCACCAGCACCTCTGGCCTACACCCCAGTTCTTTAAAGACCTAGTTTTTTAAAGACTAAATAAATCAGTCTTTAAAAAAAAAAAAGCAGGGCTGGGACCGAGCAGCCCCTCCTCACGCCCCTCCTCACAGGCGCAGAGAGTAGTACTCACTGACTCGAGGGTGGGTGATGTAGTTTCTTGTGACTGCCTGCAGGTGCTCTCGGGCTGCGCCCAGGTCGCAGCCATTGCGGGGGAGCCCCTCAAGCCTACTGTCTACCTTGGTGGCCATGGCAAGGCGGTGGGCTGGGAGCTGAGTGGCCTGGCCCAGCCGCTGGCTGCTGCTGCAGTGTAAGCTCCAGCTGGAGCTGGAGAGAGCTGACAGACCAGCCCCTGTGGCCACCCGCCCTCCCCTCCCTCCCCTCCCAGAGTTGACAGTAAACAGGGAAACTCCAGTTCTGGAGCTCCTCCGGATCTGGGAGGGGCCCTGGGCCACCAGGGTCTGGAGGATAGGGAGGGGAAGGGAGACAGGGGCTAAAGCTAGTTCTAAGCTTTTGTCCTTGCTGTTCCTGGCCCCCAACTTGGGGCTGCTGTAATCTCAATCTCCCCCCTGGCACTTGGGGGGCTCCCACAGGCGCTGCTGCGACAGAGCCAGCTCTCAGAGGCCCTCTCAGGCCTCCTCCCCGGCCTCCCCTGACTGCAGCTCCCTCGGGCTGGTGCTGGCGGCACCCCCAGGCCCAGGCCCTGGCAAGCTCTCCTCACCTTCTCACTGTTCTGAGTCTGCCTTCACTCGGAGCCTTTGTGCTTGACCCCACGGGCTACTTCTCCCCTGGCAAGATTCCACTATCAATTTTTCTGGGACATCTTTTGAGGCTCCTTCTTGGGCCAGTTTCAGTGGCCCCTCCTGTGGGAACCCTCCGGCACCTTGCATTCGCTGCATTCTGGTCTCCGGTGGGACACCATTTTGGAGAGTTCCTTTTCATCCCTTCTGCTCATTTGTGAGATTTCAAGAGCTCACCCCGTGTCTTGGTGCTTCGCTCTCATGCTTTCCTGTCTCCTCATATTGAGAACCAGACAGGCCTCTGTCCATCTGAACTCAGGCTCCTGTGTCACACTCTTGGGTTTGACCGCCAGGGTCCCAGAGCAGGCTAGCTCTGCCCTGCCTATTCAGCCCAGGGGAGAAAGTACAAATGGAGGGACCCTGTGCATGCCCAGCGGCTGTGGGCTTTCCTTCCCCTGGGGTAGGGGAGTGTGGCACAGGTCAGCAGGACAAGGCAGGGTGGACAGCCCATGATCTGCCCAGGGCAGCCCCATGTCTCATTCCAGCCTTAGGATTTCTGGGTCTCTCTAAGCACATCTTTAGGCTTGTGTGTGTGGGGGGAGGGGGGGATTGCGGCAGGGGGTGGGCAGTAGAGGGAAGAGAGGAAGCATGGATGTCTGTTGGAGCCTGGTGTCTGTTGGAGCAGCTGAATGACTAAAGGCAGCCAATTTGAAACCAAGTATGTGTTTCCCAGAGCAGGGCAGCCAACCTGAAACCAGATATGTTTCCCAGAGCAGACAGGTGTACACCCCTCTCCCCTTTTCTCCCCAGAGCGGAAATCTTGCCCTTTCTCCTCCCCTGCACACTGAGACCAGGTCTGTGGGGCCTTGTTTATAATTCCCAGCCTTTCAGAGACGGCTCTTGAGTGCGCGTGGCATGGGTGTGCGTCTGCAGGAGAGGCACAGGGAGATCTCTGGCGATGACAGTTCTCGCTCCTGATTACAGCAGCGGTTCCAGGCATCTCGCCCAGGTGACACACTAAAACCACCCACAACACACAGTGCCCAGGTCAGTTCCTGGTGTTGATACACTAGGGTTCCAGAAGATTCAGCCACTGGTTCAGGGTTCAGGAATCTCTGGACTACCTTGGCAACCTCTTATAAACCCACAGGGATTGCAAAATACATAATGAAATAAAAGTGGCTTGCTTGAGAAAAAAAAAAAAAGCTTTTAATTGTTTCTGTGGTTGCATTGGAAGGCGGGTCCTCTACTGCTCCGGGGGTCTGGCCTGGTTTACCTCCCATGCCTGCCTTTCTCCGCTTTCTGGGTCCTGCTCTCACCTTTCATCATCCACCCTCTCCAAGATTTCATGTTTCCTTCACTCAGATCATTTTAGATTGGAAACAGGAGCTTATAAAACGCATTGCTTACCCAGCAGAAGCATGCAGGGGCCCTGATGGGAGCTCCAGGTGGGAGTGGGAGTCAGGTGCCTGGCCACCCTTGTCTGGGCTCGCTGTCCCCACCTGAACTGTGAACAAGGTCCCAGCTTCTGCCCCCAGCCCCCAGCGGTCCCTCTGACCCAGTCCAGTTACCTGCCAGTGAGGAGAGGGGGAGAGGGCTGGGGGGCAGTGGTGGTGCTTTGGGGACTCCACTTCCCTTCTCGTCATCTGTTTCCTTTTATTTCAGTGAGAGGCACGCTCGCACACTGACACAGACACAGGCTGCAGGACCAGGGCCATCTGGTCAGTCCCTGAGCGGGGCTGGGAGGCAGGGCACCGGACTGCCACCCTCCCCTGGGGTCTGCTCAGGGCAGTCCAGTGGGGCACAGGAGGCGGGGTGGTGCTGTGCTGGGGGGGCTCCATGTCACATGTGGGTGAGGCTTACGCATTAGCTTTCTTGCCGCCACAGGGGCTGCCTTCTCTCTGCTCCAGCTGGCTATAGGGCTCAAAGGCTGAGGAGCCCAGTTCGTAGCCGGTGGCCATGTCCAGGAGAGGGGCAGTGGAAAGGCAGAGGCCTGGTGGAAGGGGTGGCAGTGGGGGCGAGCCCGAGGTGAACAGGTTGAGGCGCAGGGAGGAGTTCCTCGGGTCACCCAAGGGGGTGACGCTGTGGTCAGCAGGCAGGCCCAGTGGGCCGGGGATCAGTGCCAGGAGGCTGGGGGCCCTGGGCACGGAGAGCAGCTGGCCCTGCTCCAGCAGCCGCAGGATGTTGGAGGTGGCGAAGGCCTTGGAGGCCGAGGAGGACGCCCGCTTCTCCAGGTCTCTGCTCTGGTCTTTCTTCTGCTTGGTGCGGCGGTTCTGGAACCAGACCTTCACCTTGGGGCAGAGGGTGGAAAGGGAGTCAGGAAGGGACAGGGACCGGCCGAGCAAAGTTGAGGGAATTGGGAAAAAGGAGAGGAAGGGCATAGGGGCACAGAGGAGTGGAGTGAGAGGGAAAAAAGAGCAATTCCTCCATCATTCAGGACCTCCCACAAGTTCTGGGTGAACGGTAAAGCGCCCTGTCCCCCCAAGTCATGGGCACCCCTCCACTGCTATGCTGACTCTGGGCAAGATGCGGAATGGACTGGCAGAATGACGCTGGAGGGATAAGCGAAGCTCCCCTCTTGGCCCACACACCTTCTACTCTTAGCTAAGTCCCCTCCTCACGGTGCCCCCACACTCCCCTGAGGGGAGTTCTCTAAACCCATCTGTTCATTTCCCTGTTTAAAATTTTCAGCAGCCTCCCCCAACCCCATTATCTATAAGGTCCAGGCTTCTCAAGGCGATTCCACTGCAAGAGGATGTGACCGGATGTTGAGGGACACTTCCAGCAGCCACACACTCAACACAGGGCACAGAGGGGTGCCCGACACCCACATCCTAAACAGAGTCCTCAACAGAAAAGCAGAGACCTTTTCAAGGCCGCTGAGAGGAGGCAAAACTGGCCCTATCCTGCCACTTGGCCCCCACATTTGGGAGTCCTAGCCTTTGGGAAGAAGGGCAGTTGGGGGAAGCCAGGGTTAGCTCTTCTGGGATCCCTCCTGGTGATGGGGAACCCTGTGTCTGAGAGAGAGGGTGCATCCCCACCCCCTCACACAGAAGTCAGGAGGTCCTGAAAGAATCACTTGTAGGGACTGCAGATGTATGCACAAAATATGACAATTGCCAACAGGAAACCTTGTCCAGCCCAGCATCTGCAGAGCTGTGTCCCTGGTGCCACCATTGCAGCACCCAGACTTCTGTCCCCAGGAGCACATAGCCTCCTGGCCTGGAGGTCAGGAGGCTGACAGCTGGCAGGGCCAGCATGTGACTGCAGGATGAGTAGGGACTTGTGAGGGCTTGGCAAGAAAAGGCTGAGGAGGCCTAGCTGGTTCCCCTAGCTTATGGAAGAACTAAGGGAGACCAGCAACCCCGTGAAGCTGGGCATCACTGCAGGAGCAACCGCCTGCCGAAAGACCTCTAGCCTGTGTGTGTGTGTGTGTGTGTGTGTGTGCGCGCACGCGCATGCTCCTCACACTAGAAAGTACCCAGTGATTTAAAAAGGTCTATCTTTGACCTCCAACGCTGGGGGAGGTAGCCAGGAGAGGAAGCAGGTGATTCAGACCCATCACACACCCTCTCAGAGTTTACAAGGAGAGGTGATGGAGACCACAGACTGGGGTCCTCCCTGCAGCCTCTCCCAGTGGTGAGCTGGGCTGTTCTCAGTAGGGAAGTGGGAGAAGATGAGATTTGAAAAAGATGTGAGTTTGGTCCTTTAAATGGGATGGGATCATTTTAATAACCAAAAGTTACCAGAGAGTTTCAAGATCTACTCGAGAGTGATCACTTCGTTCATTCATCCACTCACTCATTCATTCGTTCGGCAGATATGCGTTGAATGTCTACTATGCGCCAGGTGCTGTTCTAGGCTCAGGGAATCAGCAAAGAATGAAGCAGATCTAATCCCCGCTGTAGGGAGTAGACAGTGTGGAGGCAGAGACAGGTGACCAACAGCAGATAAACACGTAGACACGGCTGTCGGGTGATGATAGGATTGTGGAGGTGTCTCTCACGTTATTTGTGGTTAAGGAACCACTTTTTTTATTTTTATGATAGTTTATTTTTACATCATTTTTTGTCTTTTTCCATCTCAGTTGTAATCCCTGTGGTCTTCCTATCACCAAATCACCCGTGTGCCATCACCATAGTCCAGTGCATTTCCCTCCCCCGACTGTTTTTGATCCCATTCCCCACTCCACCCCTGTAAAATGTCTCTGGTAAATAGTTGTTCATTATTATTATTCCCCCCCCCTCTGGTCCTTTATACTCCTGATATGAGTGAAACCATCTGGTATTAAGGAACCACTTTTAAAGTATCCAAACTGTTGTGTTTTGTAAAACATAATTGAAGTGAATTTCAATTGATTCTGGAATATGGGTTTAAATTGTGCAGGGTCATTTATTTGTGGGTTTTCTTATAAACAGACTATGTTGTTAACTTACATCCTTGATAAATACAATTCACTAGTATAAATATATTGCTTGTTCCTTATGGCTTTCTTTTTTTAAAATAAGGATTTATTTTTATTTATGCATGTAGCAAGAACTGGGGTACAAGCCAGAGGTGTGGTGGGTGAGAGGATTCACCAGAGATAGTGGGGAACAGAATAGGTGGATCCTCTTAAATACACTTACTGAAGGGAGCAGCGGGTGAGACAGGAGAAGTATGCTGTGCCATGTGGGTCACCTCCCTGGCCAGGGTTCGAACTCATGCCACAGTGGTTGCCAATAGCTTGGTATTGCTGAGACTGTAACCCCTAAGCCATGGGGAGGCCCCATTATGATTTCCTCAATAGCACTTTTCTTTTCTCTAGCTTACTCTATTTTAAGAGTGGATTATGTAATACAGGGAATATATAAAACAAGTGTTCATCATTCATTGGTAAGGCTTCAGGTCAATAGGAGGGTATTAGTGGGTAAGTCTTGGGTGACTCAAAGGATATAATCACATTTTTAACTATGTGAGGAGTTGAATATCCTAACCTCCAAGTTGTTGACTGTACTAAAAAAATTCTGTATATATTTCTAAACATATATTCTCCATTTCTGTACTTATTATGGATAAATAATAATTTGTGAGATACCAGTCCAAGAGCCATACTTTGGGGGGCCCTGCTTTAGAGAAAGGTAGCAAGATAAGAGGGGAGATGACCATCTTGTTAAGTGTGGCAAGCACAGCCTCTCTGAAGAGGTGACACTGAAGGAGATATAAATAAAGGATGGTCCAGGCAGGTTTAACCAAGTCTGACTGAACAAAGCAACTGGAAAGAAAAATCCTGATATTTGTCTGCTCCACAAAGCGAAACTACCAGACCCTTGGGGGCTGTACTCTGCATCCTGCTGCTCCCCTTCCCCTCCTGGACAGGTTCCTGGACTCTCTGCCAGGTTAGTGCCCACCTTTCTGGGGTTTTAGGACCTTGGGTCAGGTACTCCCCACCTAGAACTCCCAGTTCTCAGCTTTTCATCTTTAAAATGGGAGCTGTTTCCAGGACTGAATAAGGAACTCCTTGTAGCAGATGGCCCATGGTGGCGGCCACCTTAGATTTGAGTTGCTTACTGCCAGGAAGAGGTCACGTGGGAGTCCAGTTCCCTGCCCCACAGAGCCAGGGTCCAGTGGAGAGTGGCACCCAGCAAAAGAGGGCCCAGAAGAACAAAGGTGGCAGTCACAAGAGCCTGCAATGGTTTAGACCCCGTGTGGGAGTCTCCAGGAAGGTGGGCCTGGAAGAGGGAGAGGAGGCAGAGGGCAGGTGAGCAGGGGCAGGCATGTCTGTTGGCTGGGACTTATGGGCCAGTTTAGGGAATCTCAACCCTGGCTGCACTTTGAATTACCTGGGGTGGCATTTTTCCTAAATCACAAGGGACATGTTCTATCCCAACCCATGACATCAGAATTCCTAGGGGTGGGGCCGAGGCATTGGCATTTTAAAAGCCCAGGTGTTGCACACTGTGAAGGGAAACTGGAACTGCAGGGTGGAGCAAGACAACCGCTGTCTACTTCCCGTCAAAAAGCCCATGCTCCTTAAGGAGCCATTCATAAGGCTCAGTAAACAAGGGGCAAAGGACTTGAGAGAGACCAGAGCTTCTGAACTTATCCTTCCTCCAACAAGCCTCCTTTCCACCTGGGTAACCCTCTTCTCAGGGTTAATTAAGCCAAAGATACTGGTCAGTGCAGCTGCCCTCTCCCAGGAGGCCAAGGTCCCGTCCTGACCGAGAGTGCTTCCTGGTCAGCGCCCTCTGCATTCTCCCGGCAGCCTGGTCTTGCCTCCTCCTCTCCAGGGTCCCTTGGAAGGCTGGTGGTTTTACCCATTGTCCCTCCTGGACCACACTGTGACCCACACGGTGACCCATGGCTATCACCCAGGCTGAGTGAGGTCTCCGCTCAGCTGCAGGACCAAGGAGGCACATTTTGGAAGATCATCCACCACCATGTTCCAGCCAGAGTCAGCATTAAATTCTAGGACCTACTGTTGACTTGGACACGATGTTAATATTCAGTAGACCATAGATACAAACTAAATCGGGGTGAAAGTTAACCGTATCCAGGATGACCCTGGTGTTTGAAACCTGGGCCAGCAGTCACCCCCATTCCACTGCTCTAGAAGAAGCAATCTGGGCAGAGGCAGTGGGTTGCTGAAGGGCCAGGGCTACTCTTAGCCACCTAAGTGGTGATCCTGTCCATCCTGGGCCTGGCATTAGCCATCTGGCCCTGGAAAAACCCCCTAGACCAGGCGACGCAGGCTTCTGGAGCCAGGCTCTCTCCTTCCTTTCCTCCCCAGTTACTATTCTTTTCTTATTTTCCCCTCTGACCTGGTAGTCTGGTCATTCTTTCATACAACCCACAAATGACAAGCGTCCAATGCATGCCAGCATTTCCAGGTGCTGGGAAAACAAGGGTAAATACCCGCTTGGCCCCCAGGACACGAGTTCTTCAGCATTGCCTGAAGAAATACTTGATCGCCTTCTTGACATCTCTTTTGGATCAGACTGAAATGACTGAAAACAAAACTCTATATTTCTCTCCCACTATCCTGTCCGCCCTGACTTTCTCCACTCGAGGAGGACTGTTTGCCATCTCTCATCACTCACCCAGTTGGTCAGGCCCAGACACACATCTTTCCCTTGCCCTGTGCACGTGATCCATGAGCAAGTCCTGGTAGGTTCTACCTCCGAATGAGATACATCTCAGATCCGTGCACATCTCTCTGCCCATATCTCCCACACTACACCCCACCCATGGCAGTGGCTGCTAACAGCCTCCATCTTGTCCCGATGCTGTAGCTCTAGATGACAACAGTGCCAATTACCTCATGCCACAGCTAGACTTCAGGGTTTGAGGACATCTTCCTGATTTACCCCAGGAGCTCTGGCCTTGCCCAGTCACTATGCCAGGGATTGAGGAGATGCAAGAGATAGAAAGGGGGTTGGGGGCTCTCTGAGCACAGTCTGGCTTTCCAGTCCAGCTGGAAAGGGCTCAGGGTCTTAGGCCCTCTGCTGTGCTGTTTGGAGCTCTAGAAGGGCAGTTGGAAGAAACAGGTCCTGAGGAGATGGCAGTGCCCCCAGGACAGCAGCACTCACTGCAGGCCCCCACCATGACTCCACTCGACCACGGTGCCAAGGGAAGGAGGTAGCAGGCATGAGAGGAATGCTCTCCGGCAACCCCATGCATGTGAATGTTATTGTCATCATCAACTCTGTTGTCAGCTTGCAGTGTCTCATTCACACAGAGCAGGTGTTGAGTTCCTAAAAGTTATTCCTTCAAGTATACAATTGTTAAGCAGTTCCCAGGTACAGGGGTATCAGGCCCCTTCTCTCTGACAAGAGGTTCTGAGGCACATGAGGATGAAGGGAACATGACGGAGGGTGGGAAGATGCCCAGATTGGGGAAATGAGGTCTTCAACCCATTTTGTAATGTCTAGTCTCTCCCCTAATGTTGGTTCCCAGCAAGCCAACCCTCCTCCCTCACCCCCATCCCTGCAGGTTCCCTCAGACCTCTGAGCCACATCCTATAACTGGAATTCCCCTCCCTCCTGCTTCATCCATCTTTTTCCATTATCTACCCAAAGTGCCTGATGAGTCTGGACATAGGGCCCACTCTCCACCTCTGTTGGGCCCACAACCCCAGAGGTTTCTAGGGCCCAGGGAAGGGGGGAGAGGCCTGGCCCTTTACCTGGGTCTCAGAGAGGCTGAGCTGGCGGGCCAGCTCAGTGCGCTCACGGCCCACCACGTACTGGCAGCGCTGGAACTCCATCTCCAGGCGGTACAGCTGCTGGGCTGTGAAGGACGTGCGGGTGCGCTTGGGCCGGTCCAGGTCGAGGCCCTTGGGCAGGACAATCTCGCGGATGGTGCCTTTGGAGTCTGCAGAGACCATGAAATGAGGCAGGTGAGCTCACTTGTCAAGAAGTTAGGCTACAATAAGGGTCTTTCTACGAGGCTCTGCATCTCACGGGCATCGGCCTGATGGGTCGTGTTGTTCACCCTCTCTGGGCCTTGCCTGATCACCCCGTGGAGTATGTGGCGCAAATATTGCACATTTATGCCTTAGTGCAAATGCCAGCTCTACCTTCATGGCCTGGGCCATGCCAGGAATCTGCTCTGGCAGTCAGTGGAACAAAGAACAACTGGAGATATACTGGGTTCTCAAGTGCAGAGGAGAGGTTAGAAATTGGTATAATCAATCGGATAAAGCTTAGAGAAGGTGATGTTCAGAGTTCCTAAGCCCCGTGTGTGTGCACGTGTGTGTGTTGGGGGGTGGGGCACATGACCACAGACCATCCTGGGGTTCACAGAGAGGCTAGCTGGTGTGGGGTACAGAGTGAATTGGGGAGAAGGGCCCCCCAGGAGGAACGCCAAAGGCCATTTCCTTTAGGTTGTTGGGGAGCTTTCCAGCAGGGTGCTCTGCTACACCCCATGTAATAGTCCTGAACAGCAGGCAACCCTCCCTTGAAAGTCTTCCATGCTCAGGGCATCCCTTCTTTGGAAGCCTACTTAAGAGAGGATGAAAACAGTAGCTCACGTTCCCCACAGTCCCACTTAAAGAAATCAGAAACTGCAAAAAAGTTTTCAGCAAAATTGAAGTAGTTTTTTGAAGGGAGTTTATACACACACACACTTCCATATTTGAAACATGCACACTTATGACTTGACGTCTAGCTATTAGAAAACATTATGTCAACAATTAGAATATGGAAATATGCAACATCATACTGTAGGATTTTCCAAACCACTCCCCATACACAATATCAATCATAATAAATAATGAATAAGAAATAAACAGTAATTACCATTATCTATAAATAACAGTATCAATAGAGAATTTACCAACTCGATTGGGAGGGATGGGAGATGGCATGAAAAACATAAGAAAAGTTACAGATTGAAGATAGCCTTGACCAAGCACAACCCCCTTCTAGGGTGCAGGAATTCCAGGGCCCTCAAGGGGGCGCGCACATTTGCAGTTTGCAATGTGGCCACAGGCATTAGAGGCCATTGCTGCTCAGATTTTAATCAGAGTAATAGCTGTCTTCTCTGCTTGCTCTGGCTCAGACACTGTTATAAGCTCTTGAGCCCTCTCATATCTCAACGATGTCGGAGCTAATATTTTGCACATTTTACACATGAGAAAATGGAGGAACACATTTTAAGTAACTCACCCAAGGTCACACGGGTGTTCAATAAGCTCTAGAAACGCCCTAATTACACTTAATCAATACTATTATTTACTAATTTTAATGAATCATTTGACATATTTTAATTAAGATGACTTTGCTTATGGGTAGAAAATGAGATCTTCAGGACGGAGAGGCTCATCACTGGCCTCGAAGATGCAGGAAAGGAGCTGCCTTGGGGATGTATTATCTGCTGGGAGGCTGCCGTCCTACATTTGCATCCCAGCTCTAGAGCAGACCTCCAGATCCCCCTCCTGTGAGTTATGAGACAGTGCTTCCTGGCTCCTGCTCACTTCTCCAAAGTGCACCCAGCTTCCCAGGGCCCCCTGGCTCACAGGTCCTGCCTCTGATCTCAGAGTTCCTCTAGCACCTTCACCTCCAAGCCAGTCCTCAGGGAGAAGGTGGATTTGGGCTGGGGATATGGTCCCTGCTCAGAGCTGACTCTCCTTTTATGGGACTGGTCTCTCGAGGCCATGTGTAGAGAAAGTCAAAGAGGATCTGCTCCTGGATGTTGGGACCCAATAGGCCTTTGAGGTCAACACAAGCTTCCCCACCTCCAGTGCCTTCCGCGATGCAAAAAGGTGGGGTAATATTTGCGACCCTCTTATGAGTGGGACACAATTTCCAAGTGTGAAACTAGTCTCAGAACTTCATGACACCCAAGTGACTTCCTCTCCAAAGGCATTGATCCTATGGAAGTGTCCTGAAGAATGTGGACTCGTAGAAGGGAGGTGGGTGTCTCGAGGGTCCGAAGCTTCATCTCCTCTCCCTCATAAGTCCCTAGAATCTACCTGAGGCTTTGAGCTGGTGTCCTAACCACTGAGATCAAACTGTAATGCCCCTTCCCATTTCCTTTTGGTTGAGAAGAGAACCCAGGCTCAGGGAGCAATCAAGGTCAGTCTCTGTCTCAGAGTCAGGGGAGGCGAGAACCTTGTCAGAAGGTCAGGGGAGGCGAGAACCTTGTCAGAAGAGAAACTTCTGACCATACAAATGAGCACATGAGAAGATGTTCCACGTCTCCAGTCATTGAGAAAAGGCAAACGAAAACCCTGAGACACATCTATAGGAAAAACTAAAATTAAAATTACTGAGGGTGTCAAAGGCTGGTGAAGATGTGGAGAAGTGAGAGATGTCATACATTGCTGGTGGGAGTGGAAAATGGCACAGCCTCTTTGGAAATGGCCTGGTAGTTTCTCAAAGAGTTAAACAACAGTTTACCATGGAACCCAGTGGCTGTGCTCCAGGGCATGCTGCCTAGAGAAATGAGTCCATAGCATTTTCATGTATACAAATGTTCATAGAAGCGTTATTTATAATACCCCAAATCCTGAGGTCCTTCAATAGCTGAATGGTCAAACAAACTGGTACAACTGTACTCGGGGATACAGCTCAGCATGAAAAGGAATGGTATTGCAATGTTAATAAATGAGTGAACAAATGAATAAGGAATGACTTTGTTCACCTTGTTTAGTTAACTTTTAGTAGAGTTTGCTTAAAATATAGATATTGTAGGGCCCTCCCTGCTGGCGCAGCGGGTTAAAGCACTGCACTAAGAAGCTTAAGCCATTTCTGCATGAGTTCGATCCCTGCCTGCCCCAGAGGTGACCACATAGCACGGCAGACCTCTCCTGACCCGCCCGCTGCTCCCCTCAGCAGTGTACTTCGTTGATCTGCCTGTTCTGCTCCCCAGTCTGTTCCTGGTGAACCCTCTCACCCTCCGCATCACTGGCCTGTACTCCAGTTCTGTATGAATAAATAAATAAATCTTTAAAAAATATAGATAGATATTGTAGCTTCCTGTGTCCTTTCAAAAGCATTTAATTAATTTTTACATTTTAAACAAGCCAAGTATTAGAGTTTAAAAAAACAAAACAGACCCTCCCTGGTGGCACAGTGGGTTAAAGCACAGCACTAAGAAGCTTAAGCCACTTCTGCATGAGTTCGATCCACACCTGCCCCAGAGGTGAGCACATGGCGCTGCAGACTTCTGACCCACCCTTGCTCCCCTCAGCAGTATGCTTCGTCTGTCTGCCTGTTCTGCTCCCCACTCTGTCTCTGGTGAAGCCTCTTGCCACCCCTGAGCCTCTGGCCTGTACCCCAGTTCTGTATGCACAAATAAATAACCTTAAAAAAAAATTTCTGTCATCTGTTTCTACTACCTCAATCTATAACTTAGTTCTGATAAAACTTGAATTTTTCCTTGCAGTGATACATTATGAATATTTTAAGGTCTATTCTATATTCTTATTAAATTAATTCCTGTCTCACACCATAAATCACAAATGCACTTCAAACTGAGTAGAGAGCAAGTCATATGCTATAAAATAATAAAACCATTAAAAAAATATAGGAGGGTATTTTTACAGTTCTGAGGTTGGAAGAACTTTCTAAGCATGACATAAAACAGGAACCACAAAGGAGACAAAGAGGTTATCTGGCTCTATTAAAGATAAAAATTTTTCTGTGACAAGAGCACCAAAACCAAAAATACACAAGAAAATGCTTTTTAAAAAAGCAAAGAAATAATATCCAGAATTTGTAATATGCAAATATAAATAAATGATTTTTTTAAGAGAAATAGTCTAGTAAAATAAATGATGAAGTAATTTATCTGGTCCACTCATAGAAAAGAAATCCAAATGGCCAATAACCATTAAAAGACAAGCACAATACCACAGTAGTCAGGATAATGCAAGTTCAAGCAACATTTATCATTTATCTCCCAAAAGACTGGAAGAATATTAATAGATGACTAATAAAGTAATGATGCACTGTGGGGGAACCCACACTCCCATTCACTGTTGGTAGACCACAAATTGTCACAACTATTTGAGACCACATTTGCTAATACCCCAGTAACTTTAGTAGGTATTGATCCAGAAAGCAGAGTCATGTGTTCCAAGGTACACATGTGGATAGATAACCTGCTGATAGATTGTTCAAAATATTGAAAATATGAAAGCATCCTCTATGTTTCCCACAGGGAGATGGCTGGACACATTATGGTACACTCACACCATTCATATTTTATAAAATACTATGTCACAATTAAAAAATGAGACAATATCTGTTTGAATTGACCTTACGTGAAAAACTGATATAAAATGTTTATTACCCCATTTATGTAAATAAAACCATTGTATATATTTAGTCATTCAACATTTATTTAGTAACTACTGTGTGCCAAGTACTGTTCTAGCTTCTACAGATAGCGAAATGAACAAAGTCCCAGGCCTCCCTGGTGATGCAAGGGGTTAAGTCTCAGCACTATGAAACTTTCTGCAGCCACTGCAGCATGAGTTCCATCCCAGGCCAGGAAGCTGACCCACATGGCACGGCAGACCTCTCCTTACCAACCTGCTGCTCCCCTCAGCAGTGTATTTCAATCAATCCGCCTATTCTGCTCCCCACTTTGTCTCTCGTGAATCCTCTCACCCCCCGCACCTCTGGTCTGTACTCCAGCTTGTGTATACAAAAGTGAATAAATCTTTAAAAAAATAGTCCCTGTTCCTAGGAGAAAGACAGATAATATTAAAATTAAAGAACTAATGCGTAAGGTAATGATGGATATGGGAAAATACCAACAACAGAAAAGGAATAGTGATAACACTGATCTTCAAATAACCAAAACTCAATAATAAACAAGCCAATAAAAACCCAGAGAAACATCTATTAGAATAGCTAAGATAA